AAAAAAAAAAAAAAAGAGCAAGCCAAAACGAAAGTGACACTCAAGCCTCTAACCACTTACTACAATAAATAAGCAAAAGACTAAACCTGAGAAAGAGCTAACTCCCACCTCCCTGCGTTTTATTATTTCCCCATGGAATGGTGTGGTCTAGGTCAAGACGATCAACTAGCACAGAAGTCAGGGGCATCTCACTCCTGAGGGAGCCCTGAATAAAAGACTCTTACAGTTTTACAGACCTTGGGGCTAGAGGCCAGGGGTAATGGCTAGGAATGGAAAAGTAGAATCAGAGTGGAGAAAAGTGTCTTCAAGGTTTCCTCCCCTTTCCCATTACCCTAGCAGAGGTGCCTGAGGAAGTTCTCTGCTGAAGGTCCCAATAAAGATGCTCAAAACGAAGGCACCGAGGCTAGGAATGCAGGTGTGTGTAAGAGCGTGGCCAGCCAGGGGGCCTGAGTCCTTCACTGCAACTCCCTTCAGCAATGCATTGGTTGTGTACCAAGTTTGTTGTGGGGAGGATTCCCCCATGGAACCTAACAGATAAAGTCTTTATAAGTGCTATGGTCAACCTAAAATAAAATAAAATAATCACAGATAGGATTGTAACCTAGAGCCACCAAACTCTTCACTATTTTAGGCCAGCCACTATATTAAGAGCTTAGGATGTGAATTACACAGATGTTTTACACTTGTGTAGCTTAAATTTTAGTGAAAAAGATAATAACAAACAAAAATTAAAGTACATAATTCAAGTTGCATTTTGAAAAGATCACTCTGGCTGCCATGTACTGAATGGATATGAGACAGGCAAGAGGGAAAAGTTGAGAGACCAGTGATACTGAGTAATAGATTTAACAGTGGTTATCAGAGCAGCAGAATTTTAAGAACTAATTTCCATTTTCTTCTTTTTTCCCTGTTTCCAACTGATCAACACTAGACATGTATTGTAGTTATAATCCAAAATTGAAATATAATCCTAGAAATAAGTTTAAGAAAATATTTATGCCAGATGTATAGGTAGGGAAGCTACTGAAGAACTTAGTCAACTAAGTAAGGGAGTCAACGACCATATGGGTGCCTCCCTCTCCTTGAAAACATATTTCCTTTTAATATATGATAGTCAATATAATTTAAATAAAATACCTAAGAAGATAAAATAACAAGTCCCACCTCCAAGTCTAGACATTTAACAATTTGTCATTTGTCCCACCAGATATTTTCTGTTTATACAAACTATATCTTTCAAAAAAGCATGTATATTTCAAGAAGTATATACTAATGGATCTGATAAGTCTGAAGTTCCCAAACTGTGTACTAAGACATGTCATGGCAAACTCATAATTCTAAGATGTATCAAAGCAAACTCAATATTCTAAAATTTCAAGAACAGTGAAAATAACTCAAGTAGTTCAGTTTCAAAATGGTATCACATTATGTTCCTTTTGATGATGACTTGGTTTGCAACCTGGATTTCCAAAAGCTGAATTTTCAGTGGTTGTTCGGCCTTAAGTACTAATGAGTGGGTTATTAGATGTTTCACAATGGAAAAAATTACTGAGACATTAAGGGCATTGTGAATCAATTAAGTTTGGGAACCTCTGTGGTAAGTTTTTACACACACACACACACAGTATTTTTATACAACCTATTGACCCAATTCAACTGTCTCCCCCTTTTCATCCCTTTCCCTCTCCACTGTCCTCATCTCTGGTCTCCAATTTATCCTATTGCTACCACTCAGATAATCTCATGAAAACCAATTCCCCCATCTGCTCCCTCCCCCCAATAATCTCTCTACATTCTACATACCAGATACATATTGCTACCTTGAATTACCTGCATTCCCTACACTCCCTGGTGCTCCACTTGTGTTCAAACTGTTCCCTCTGGTAGATATGCATGTGTGTTTGTATACATACATATGTATGTTTATGTATATGTGTATATAGAGAGCATACACATCTTAATATACATTAATACATAGGTATTAATATGGTTACATTTTAAAGAAAAGAGCATTAAGCAACTAAACTATAAACTATATAAACTGTGTTTATGATATATTATGTACAAATAGGTAATATTTATGCATAGAAAAACACTAGAATAATATATAATACTAACAGTAACTACCTCTAGAGGGTGTAATCCTGCCAAACATTTCAATACCTAAATTAAATCCCATCTCTTCTATAAAATCTTCCATAGCTCCCTAATCAAAATAGCTCTCTTCCCTCCAATATTACCAATGTACTTTGCTTGTATTTCTATAATTACATTAAGCTGCCTATTCTGGATCAATTACTTGAATATAGGTCCTTCTTCTCCACTTCACAGTGAACACCCAACCTTATTATCTTTTCATATTTCCTCTCATGATACCTGATACAGAATAATGTCTATTTGAAATAGATTAATCACTGTTGTTGAGTTTATATATCAATCAGATATTAGAAAACACCCTATGCCTAACATAAAAGGTCATTTAATTAATTTTCTGCTAACCTTTTGATTGAAGAATTGTTGGAGAATGTTGTAAGAAGTCTCCAAATTTCTGTAGCGTTCCCTCTTTTTTCTTAGTGGCCAAGTTTACACTAACTGTGGATACCTGACTCCGTAAAGAGTATGTTTTCTTAGATGATGGACGTGTGGAAACCTAAAAAATACATAATTTTTGTTACTGTTGATGAGGAAGATAAGAAGAAAATAGTTATAGCCACACCTGAATTACAGAGGCCAGACCCAGGTTATGAATTCTCAGGCAGAAACTTGGGATTAAATATGTAAGAAGAGGGATGAAGTGCCAGAGACTGGCAAAATTAGTGTGACAGACAGAGTGCTAAGTCAGAAGTGAACACATCAAAAGGAGCCTGAAACAGGCCAATTGCTAAATTAGATGAACAGGAAACAGAAGATAAGTGAGTTATAATTGGACAAAACTGAATTTCTGGATAACTATTAATCAAATTGGACACCTTTATTTTTATATTCTACTTTATAAAGGCAAATTATAAAATGGTCAATTTTGGACAAATTAAAAGACAAACCTTTTGTTCCTTTTTGAGAGGAGAATTTCTATGCTCAGAAACAGGGGACTTCAAATTAGTTTTGGGTGTAGCATTCTTCTTATTTTCATATTTCACCAAGCCCTAAAAGTAATCAATTTCAGCACTTGTTAATTTGTTGACAATATTTCCTTTCTCTGTACTTATAAAAAAAAAAAGAATGGTTCCTGCTCAAGGGGCGATTTTGACCCCAGGCATAACAGGCAATATCTGGACATACTTTTGGTTGTCTTTCTGGAGGAAAGGGGAGTTTCATTGGCAGCTAGTGGGTGAAGGCCAGGAATGCTGCTAAAGCCCTACAATGCACAGGATATCCTTCCAAACCAAAGAAGCATCTAGTTTAAAATGTCAATAGTTCTAAAGCTGAGAAAACCTAACTGAAGGTATGAAATTTTTTCCCCCAACTGTACTGAGATATTATTGACATATAACATACATAAGTTTGAGATATATGTGATGATTTAATACACATACAGCAAAATGAAAGTATGAATTTTTCACACACAACATAATGAAATTACATGAGCTAAATGAAAAATAGAAGGTGTAACATCTTTTATTTGAATTTCATCTCTAACATACATCACAGCAATATACCTATCTTTCCCTAACTCTCAAATCATGCAGAGCATCTATGTTTAAGACCTCTGAAATTTGGCAGCATTGAAAACAAAATAAAACAAAAACAAAAATCTTCAGTAAAAACACAGGTAAACTGTGGAAGTTAAATATAATCTATCTTCCCTACAATATAGGCAGGACATCTTATTCCTCTTTTATACCCATACCCTCACTTAGGACAAACCCTTCTGTACTATATTAACTGAATTGAACTGGTATAAATCCTCATTAAACCAAAGATGATATGCATACACGGGAAAAAAAGGCAAGAAGAGGAGCAAAGAAAGGATAACAACTGAACCCCAGAATTCAAGTTACAAAGTAAAAGCTATAAAAGTTATAAGAAGTTGCCCCTGAAAAGGGGAAGACAGATGCTAATCATGGGAAGCAAATGAAAAGACTTAATTCCATTACACTTGTAGTATTCAATAAACAGCTCTTTGAGTCTTCACTGGATTAGAATATAGCACCATATAAATGATTTTCATGAGGATCTTACAACACTCAGTTAATTATGGCAGTAAAGAGCTAGCAAAATCAGCTAAAATTTTTAAGTTACTACACGTTTACCTGCAACAATCTATATATCTATTCTGAAATACACATGGTGAGTATATGCCAACAATAAACTAAATAACTGTATTTTAACCCTCTTGAGTATACAACCAGTTTTTCCTTTCCTCTTGAAAAAAATGAATCAATGAAAAGTCAATTTAACAGAGATGATGATGAGATTAAAATACTTAGTATTTTAATGGTATCTAAAAATATTAAATATAAATTGAATAAATAAATAATAAAGGTTAACTAAGGCTCTACAAAACAGTCTCTAAAGGTGTTCTAGGTATAGGAGGAAATATGCTAAATAATATTCATTTAGCAAATATATTACCTGACAGAGAGCCTCAGGTGTATGGTTAATACTATTTCTGCTCTTCCACCAGCTTGAAAATATACTACTCTTTAAAGGCGTAAAAATAAGAAGTTGGAGAAAAAGTTATTAGGCTAGAGAGTTTATAATTAACTTTAAACTTAAATTACTTTTAAAATAAATATTACCATTTATTATGTATCTACCACATGTGTAGCAAAAGCTAATAAGCATTTTAAACATATAACTAATCTTTTATTTCCCAAAGTAGGAAACTTAAGGATCAGAAAGTTCATGTGACATGTCAAACCTGCATGACTCAGATATGGTAGAAGGTTTGGTGACCCTACAACCAGGAAGCTACAATAGGAAGTAAATAGTCTTTAGCCTACCACTACACAGAGGCTCTAATTTTAATATACTGGCTGATAAAAAAAAAAAAAGAATTTTTCTTCTAAAACCTGCTATGACCACACAGACCTAAGATTTTAGTTAAATGACATTATACTCAAGTAAAATTAGCTCCAGTTTCTCTAGTTTCTTTATAACCCTTTTCTTACCCATTGGAAGGAAAGTGACTAAGTTTGAACAAGATGAGTATATTAAAATAGCTCTCCAGTATGACCCACCATCACTTGACTTCACTGAAGCTTCACTTGAGCTTCACTGAAGCAAGGGATAAACTATGTATTTTTATATCCATAAACTTTCTGTTTGAGGACTATAAACTACAGTGATATTCCAAAAGAGTATGAAATATGCCATAAATTGTGATTTTAGTCTCTAAACAGTGCTTATAATCAGGAGGGCAATGTAACAGTTGTTTATATATATTGTAACTGAGCTTCACCATAAGGGTTCCTTGTTAAAATCACTTTATCAGGTAAAAGTATTTACCTCCTCCATTTCATTACTCTTCCTCTTCTGGGCCTTGGAAATCTTAACTGTTACTGGTGAGGTACAGTCAGGGTGCTTCACTGTCATTTTGTTTGGCCGTAAAGGTGTAAACTGAATTTCTAACTCAGGTTTTGGGAATCGAGTAGTTTGATTACTTTCTGTTGACACTTCACAAGATTCAAGAACTATAGATCCATCCTAAAACAGAATTTAAAAAGAAAACAAATCTTATCTACAGAATATTAATTTATAAATCACAAGGAATTAATTCTCCAAGATACTTATTAAAGACAATGAATTATAAAAGATAAAAATTTGCCAGAGCAAGAACAGAAAGACTGAGTTACATCTACTCTCTCCAAGTTTACACATGGTATGTTAAAATCAGGGAAACTTAACAGATTAGTGGTTCCCAAACTTCTAGGATCATAAGAGCTACCTAGAGAATTTGTTTTAAAGAGTCTTAGACCCTACTACAAATTACTAAATCAGAAATTTCCAAGGGAAGAGTAGGATTTTTAGTAACCACTCCAATTATGGTATATTAAACTTTGCTGCAAAGTCTTGCTACTCTTACCTTGAGAGATGGAGTCTCATTCCCATTTCCTAAATCTGGGCTGGTCATAACAACTTTCAGGTCCAAGAGAATGTGGTGGAAGTAACATCAGGGTTTTTCTGTGCCTCAGTCAAAACAAGCCATGTAATCTCTGCCCTCTCCTCTTCAAACACTAACTTTCAAGACGTTCCCCCTTCAAAATGTCCTACCTCAGAATTTAGCTACTGTGCTCTGAGAAACCCAAGCCACAGGGACAGGCCAACATGTAGGTCCAGCTGAGTACCCAGAATCAACCAACTATCAGCTACATGAATGAATCAATTTAGACTTTCAGCCCAGTCAAGCACAATGATTTCACAAATGCAAAAAATTTATACAAAATAGCCTAACAATGCAATTCTCCAATGCTATGGAATATACAATAACTGCTACAATTTTTAATAGAAAATTAGAATCAGGAGGCTTTAGGATAGTAAATATAAATTTATAAAGAAAAAAATGCTCCATGCAATTGCCTGTGAAGTCAAGAATTAATATTGTTTATGGATCAACTTCAAACTTTTCTAGAAACAACATGACTTGTATTAGTCTCCAAGGCCAATACCAATTATTTGGTATTTCTACCAAAAGCTATCAGGAAAGGCCAAGGTAAAAGGAATGGCTTGTGTTCTTTTCCCAGATTAAAATGTCCTTCTATTCCTGTTCTGTTTGGTAAAATTCTATTCACCTTCCAGACCTACTATGATGTTACCCTCTCTAATCCATGCCCACAGACACAGAGGTGAAATTCATAACCTCCTCAGTGTTTCTTCTCAGCATTCTCTTTGAAACATTTAGCCCATATGGTAAACTCAAATAAGGCAGTCATTTAATTTAGGTATCTGTCTTATTAGATTCTTTACTTCTGGAGGATGGTGATCATGTCTTATTTATGCTTGTAACCTCAGTGTTGGCAATATTCCCAACACTAACTGCTAAATGCTCCCCATGTTTAAAAAAACAAAATTTGAAAAGTAATTTTATCTTTAAACCTTTAAGTGACATAGAACTTTTATCTATTCCATACAAAACCTGAGCATCCCTATATTAACCAAAGTGATTCACAGAACTCTAGGCCCAGGGCAAGTTAAGGAAACTCACTGTGAGCTATTGAAATTTGGTGACAAAGTTATTAAATGGCCACAATTTCAAAAAAATACTGTTTAACAGCATCTTTAATAAAGGGACCTCTTAGAGGGCAAAGAATCACCCATTTCATCTTTTGTGGGATTTTCTATTTCTGACAACCAAGTTTATTTATATTAATAAACCTGTTGTTTGAGATCAATGTCATTTTGAGAGAAAATTAACATCATTTAGGAACCTAATCTCCCAAAAGAATTTCATCTCTCCTCAAAACCCTTTAGTTTTCCTTCCCACAACTCAGAGCACATAGTTACCTGTATAGCAAGGTACCTACAAGAACTGATTAAATCATACATGCAAATGTTATTTCATAATTAATGGTCACTGGTAAAGAAAGTGAAAAAGTAGAACCAATGCCCACCTCTACTTCATTCCTAGAAATTTCAAAACTTGTTGACTGAGGCTTGGTTTCAATTTCACCAGGATCCAATGAACTCATTTTACTGGGCTTGACATCCATGGTTTGTTTATCCTAAAGTAAGGAAACATTAAAGCAACAATCCACTGTAACTGAAAATATATTAAAACACTTCATCCAAAGAATATGAAATCAAGGTTTGGTGGATTAAATAGTGAAAGTAATTAAGACTTCTTCAAAACCACCTAACCCTTCTTCCTCTTCTATTTCATCCTCAGAGTCAGAAAAGACTGGGAATCTTTCCAGTCTCTTCTGGGTCTGATCTGAAAGATTATTTTCAGACTTTCAAGGTGTTTTACATATATTCTCTCAAGTTACTTTCACTGCAACTCTGAGTTAAATTTGGCAAGAACTGTTATTCCTACTTTTCCATCTGGAAAAACCAGAGAAATCCTTGGAATGCAACTATATAGCATTAGTGTAGAAAACATCATACTGATAGTGAAAACTTTTTTCTTGCCACACACTCTTCATCCCACTTTCTCAGTCAAAGGGTATGTTCTAGACCCAAATCCTATTTAAGGGATCTGTAGAAAAATATCAGATAACGTTTTAAACTTGATAAATTTCAATATGGGCCTTCTCACCACTGTCATCAAAATACAAAGTCAAATTCATCTCTTATGTCATCTACCCATTGTTGCCAAACAAGAAAGATTTTATTTAATTCATGAGGAAAGTAATACACTGACTTCCACTGTGGTAAAAACTGTGCTATTTCAAAAATGCTCTCAATTAATTTTCATAATTCTATTAGGAAGAATTATTATCTCTCATTTAGATAAAGTTCAGAAATGTTAAGTAATTTTTCCAAAGGTCCCAAAACCACAGTAACAGCAGTGATATCTAATTTTTCCAATTTTCTAATCTTTGCCATTAAGACTACATGCTACCACCTCTTTTTGAGCAGTCTTTCTCTTAGAAGCAGGAAGTCTTTTGATGTGAGAGACAGGTAGGTCCATGTACATGCATGCGTGTGCATGTGCACACACACACACATACACACATGCATTTATATTCCTATTGTCTGAAGGCTATATAAAGCAGCAGATTTTAAAGTATAGATCATTTAATTCTTCAGATGTATCCTGATTCAATTTTAACTGGGAAGGAGCTATCTGTGAAATGCAATCCTCCCTTCATATAGAGTGCCCAGCCCTAATGTAGTACTACAAAAGTAACTCTTGAATGACTCACCACTGTGCTTATTATCAGAATAATTTATCCTTCAATCAGTAAACTTAGGGTGAGTCCAAGTATTTAAATATCACCAAGAGTTCAAGTTGAATCACATTTCCACATTTTAAAGGCAGATTAAGGACTACATCACAAATTGCTTATTTTCAATTACTCTACCTGGGATCTATGACCAAAATATTGGAGAAAGTCCTACTTCTCATTTAGTCATTGACAAATCAATCATAATGATAAGTTAGGAAAATGCAAAATACATGAGAAATATCCAAATAATTTTTGAAACTCTGAATCCCTTCTGATCTACTGAAACTTAAGCTTTAATCCTTAGTAAATCAGTTAAATAATTTTTAAAAATTCCATATGTAAAAAGACAGAAAGACTGGGATTCTACTGACTGTTCCAGAAGCTTCTGATGTGACCTTTTTCAATTGTTCCATTTCATTATACTTCTGTACATTACTGGAGATCAGGGCTTTCAACTGTACTTCTAAAGCTGCAACCAGCTGATCCCGTTCTTCTCGCCAACTTTGAAGGTTACTGTCTTTCTCTGCCAGCTGTGCTGTAAGTATTTCCTAACAACAAAATAGGAAAATGTTAAAGTTAAACCTTAAAACAGTAATGAATCTTAGAATTAAAATATATTTTATTATAAATAAAAAATAAATACAACTGTGAACAAGATCTGTAACAAATTACATAGTCAAGTCTAGATAAAATATTCACAAATTACATAGTCAAATCTAGGTAACACATGCCTTTATTTGTAATGTCCATATTCTATATTTATCCTTATCTGACTTCATCCAAAAATCAACTTATTAGTGTCCTCAGATTAAAGATGGTGGCATGAGAGGTGAAACAGAGGCCACCTTGCAAAACCACATATAATAGGAAAATATAGTTAATACAACAAATCCTACAAGAACAATAGAGAAAGAAGGCTGAGACAGACTGCATATACCCGGAGAAAAGAAAAGAACTCATGGAACAGGGTAATGTACCAAAGCCGTGATCCAGTGGGACCCAAGCCCTTCCCCCACCCCAGCTCATTGGTGGGAGGAAGAGAAACAGAGGCAGGGACGGGATGGAAACTTAGGACTGCTGAACACCCAGTCCTGGAGATCTGCTCTGGGAGCATGAACCTATATTTCAGCGTGTTCTGGAGGTTAGTGGGGTTGGAAAGCTAAGAGAGATGGAATTACTTGGAGAGCCTGAGATTCCAGCCGCTTGTGTAAAAGGGATCCACACCCAGATGCTCAGAACAAAAGAAAGGCGGACAGTCTCAGAGACACTTCCTAACAGCAAGAGGGCTGCAAAAGGGGCAAGGATTGCACAGAGCTTGCTGCTCAGGAGAAAGGGCAGTGGACAATATTGTCTAGGTGCACTCTGCCCAGCAGGTTGGGAACTTTCAGGAGCTTCAGGTGCTTCATCCCCCTAACTGGCTATGCAGCTCCATGGGCCCCTACTGTGATATGCAGACTGCTGCGCCGTCCTCTGGACCAGCTCCAGCTTGCAAACTGGCAGCCCTTGCCCAGGCATCAGGCCAGCGAGTGGGAGACCCCACCTACAGCAGCTACAAACACATAGAGAGGCTTACACTTATGCACTTGGCCCACTGGTTATGGCAGTGGAGACAGGAACAGCAGCCAGGAAGCAAGAAACAGCTCTTTCCTCCCCCTCAGGCAACAGTGTCGCACCCCTATGACCCCCAACATCACTCCAGGGGCTAAGCAGCTCCAGAGAGTAGAGCTTCTGGGCACTAGAGGGCACCACATAAAAATATGAAATGTCAAATGAACCTGGTTCAAACCAAAATCCCACAAAAGACAGAAAAAGGACCAAGTGAAACTGAAATCATCAATCTTCCTGAAAGAGAGTTCAAAATAAAATTCATAAACATGCTACTGCAGGTACAGAAAAATATTCAAGAACTCAGGGTAGAATTAAGGACTGAGATTCGATCATTAAGGAATACAATATCTGAAATGAAAAATACAATGGAGGCATTTAAAAGCAGATTAGATATAATAGAGGAGACAGTAAATGAAACAAAAATTAGAGAAGAGGAATACAAAGAAGCTGAGGCACACAGAGAAAAAGGATCTCTAGGAATGAAGAGAATATTGAGAGAACTGTGTAACCAATCCAAATGGAACAATATTCCCATTATAGAGGTACCAGAAGAAGTAGAGAGAAAAAGGGATAGAAAGTGTCTTTGAGGAGGTAATTGCTGAAAACTTCCCTAATCTGGGGAAGGAGATGCTTTCTCAGGACATGGAGGTGCACAGATCTCCCAACACAAAGGACCCAAGGAAGACCACACCAAGACATATAATTAAAATGGCAAAGATCAAAGACAAGGGAAGACTTTTAAAAGTAGCCAAAGAGAGAAAAAAGATCAAATACAAAGGAAAATCCAACAGGCTATCATCAGACTTTTTAACAGGAACCTTACAGGCCAGAACGGAATGGCATGACATATTTAATGCAATGAAACAGAAGGGCCTTGAACCAAGAATACACTACTTGGCAAGATTATCATTTAAATTTGAAAGAGGGATTAAACGATTTCTAGATAAGCAAAAGCTGAGAGAATTTACCTCCCACAAACCATCTCTGCAGTTTATTTTGGAGTGACTATTATAGATGGAAGTGTTCCTAAGTCTAAATAACTGTCACCAGAGGAAATAAAACCACAGAAAAGAAAGTAGAACAATTAATTGCTAAGCAGATTCAAAATCAAATCAACTACCCCCAAAATCAGTCAAGGGATAGACAAAGTGTACAGAGTATGGTATCTAATATATAAAGAATGGAGGAAGAAGAAAAAGGTGGGGTAAAAAAAGAAACTTTAGGTTTTGTTTGTTATAGCATACTAATTGAGTTAAATTAGACTGTTAGATAGTAAGGAAGTTACCCTTGAACCTTTGGTAACCACAAATCTAAAGCCAGCAATGGCAGTTAAGTACACACCCATCAATAATCACCATAAATGTAAACGGTCTGAATGCACCAATCAAAAGAGATAGAGTCACTGAATGGATAAAAAAACAAGACCCATCTATATGCTCACTCCAAAGGATAGATCAACCAGACAGAAAATAAGTAAGGAGACAAAGGTACTGAACAACACATAGAACAGTTGGACCTAACAGACATCTACAAAACACTCCACCCAAAAGTAGCAGGATACAGATTCTTCTCAAGTGCTTATGGAACATTTTCAAGAATAGATCATATACGAGGCCACAAAAAGAGCTTCAGTAAATTCAAAAATGCCTGAAATTGTACCAACAAGATTCTCAGACCACAAAAGTATGAAACTAGAAATAACTTATGCAAAGAAAACGAAAAAGCCGACAAACACAGGGAGGCTTAACAACATGCTCCATTAAATAATCAATGGAACAATTAGCAAATAAAAATAGAGATCAAGCAATATATTGAGACAAATGACAACAATAATTCAACACTGCAAAATCTGTGGGACACAGCAAAGGCCATGCTATACTGCAATGCAGACCTACATTAGGAAAGAACAATCCCATATGGACAGTCTAAACTCACAATTAACGGAACTAGAAAGAGAAGAACAAATAAGGCCCGATGTTAACTGAAGGAGGGACATAACAAAGATTAGAGCAGAAATAAATAAAATTGAGAAGAATAAAACAATAGAAAGAATCAATGAAAGCAGGAGCTGGTTCTTTGAGAAGAAAAACAAAATAGGTAAACCCCTAGCCAGACTTATCAAGAAAAAAAAGAGAGTCTACTCACATAAACAGAATAAAAGATGAGAAAGTAAAAATCACTACGGACACCACAGAAATACAAAGAACTATTAAAGAATACTATGAAAAATTATATGCTAAGAAACTGGACAACCTAGAAGAAATGGACAACTTTCTAGAGAAATACAATCTTCGAAGGCTGACCCAGGAAGAAACAAAAAAATCTGAACAGATGAATAACCAGCAATGATATTGATTTGGTAATCAAAAAACTACCTAACAAAATTCCTATACCAGATGGCTTCACTGCTGAATTTTATCAAACATTTAGTGAACACCTAGTACCCATCCTCCTTTTAGTTTTCCAAAAGTAAAAGAGGAGAGAATACTTCCAAACTCTTTCTATGAGGGCAGCATCACTCTAATACCAAACCAAACAAAGACACCATAAAGGAAAGAAAATTACAGACCAATATCCCTGATGAACAAAGACACAAAAATATTCAACAAAATATTAGCAAACCAAATTCAAAAATACATCAAAAAGATCATCCTTGATGATCAGGGAGAATTTATTCCAGGGATGCAAGGATGGTACAATATTTGAAAATCCCTCAAGATTATCCACCACATCTACAAAAACAAGGACAAAAACCACGTATCATCTCCATAGATGCTGAAAAAGCATTTGACAAAATTCAATATACATTCATTATAAACACTCTCAACAAAATGGGTATAGAGGGCAAGTACCTCAACATAATAAAGGCCATATATGACAAATCCACAGCCAACATCATACTTAACAGTGAGAAGCTGAAAGTTTTTTAAGATAGGGAACAAGACAAGGATGCTCACTTTCCCCACTTTTATTCAACATAGTTCTGGAGATCCTAGCCATGGCAATCAGACAACATAAAGAAATAAAAGGCATGCAGATTGGTAAGGAAGAAGTTAAACTGTCACGGTTTGCAGATGACATGATAATGTATATTAAAAAACCCTAAAGAGTACACTCCAAAACTACTAGATCTAATATCTGAATTCAGCAAAGTTGAAGGATACAAAATTAATACACAGAAATCTGTTGCATTCCTATATACTAACAATGAACTAGTGGCAAGATAAATCAGGAAAACAATTCCATTCACAATTACATCAAAAAGAAAAAAATACCTAGGAATAAACCTAACCCAGGAAGTGAAAGACCTATATCCTAAAAACTACAAGACACTACAAGACAAATTAAAGAAGATGCCAATAAATGAAAATATATCCCGTGCTCATGGATAGGAAAAATATTGTCAAAATGGCCATCCTGCCTAAAGCAATATACAGATTCAATGCAATCCCTATCAAAAAAATACCAACAGCATTCTTCAATGAACTAGAACAAATAGTTCTAAAATTCATAGGGAACCTCAAAACACCCCAAACAGTCAAAGCAATCCTGAGAAGGAAGAGTAAAGCTGGGGGCATTATGCTCCCCAACTTCAAGCTGTACTACAAAGCCACAGTAATCAAGACAATTTGTACTGGCACAAGAACAGACCCACAGACTAATGGAACAGATTAGAGAGCCCAGATAGAGAAACCCAAACATATATGGTCAATTAGTAGTATACAATAAAGGAGCCATGGATATACAATGGGGGAAATGACAGCCCTTTCAACAACTCAAGTTGGCAAAACTGGACAGCTACATACATGCAAGAAAATGAAACTGGAGTACTGTCTATCCCCACACACAAAAGTAAACTCGAAATGGATCATAGACCTGAATGTAAGTCATGAAACCATAAAACTCTTAGAAGACAACATAGGCAAAAATCTCCTGAATA